GGCGAAATTACACTACCGGTTGCGGGCTCGGTTACGGTTGAGGTTACAGTTGGTTGTTGGAAACTAACCAATCATAGCAAAGCACCTCGCCGGTTAAATTGCGGGTTAATATTTAGAACCGAGTCTATTTTTAACCTTGCGGTTGTAACCGCAGCCAATAGAATTTGCGAGATAAATAATTTGTGGTTTTTTTATTGCTACACTTACTAAACTGGTACAGTTACAAAGAACAGATTAAAGATAACGTATATTTCGCGTCTTTTATTTGTTGTAATAAAGTGAATTTGTGGATATCCCATTAAAAATGCCTCCAAAAATCGATATTTGGACTAATGAAGCTGAACAATTACTGATAGATTTAGTGGAAAGGAGGCCTATTTTGTGGGATATGACCCAGTATAATTACCGGAGGAATGACTTAAAAGAAATACAATGGGAAGAGATTAGTCGTGATATGGGTGTGTCATACACAGGTAAAAGAACAATTTTCATGATATATGGTATATATTATAAGGTATACATCAACCTTAATTGTGGCTTTAATATATATGTATAAAATATATTGAATTATATATATTTTCAAAGTTCATTAAATTAAGAAAAAAGGTTAGGTTAGGTTAGGTTGTGTTTTAACTGTGCTCTTTTATAAACATAAAGAATTTACAGTATATTATTTATTTCCATCTTTTACCGCTAATTATCTTGTTGATGCAAAACATTTTGTTATGTTTTTCTGTAGTTGAAAAAGTGAAAAAAAGATGGAACAATATTAAGGGCACATTTCTTGATAATAATAGAAAAGTGCGAGAATCAAAGAGGAGTGGTTCTAGTACAGAAGATATTTTCAAGCCAAGATGGCCTCTTTACACAAGGCTTCAGTTTTTAAAGAAAACTATTTCTAGTGCACAAAGTGTATCTAATTTTCCACCACCTGTGCGTGTAACACATCAGCCATCTTCTTTTCAACTTCGCTGTGAAGAAGATTGCCAAAATTTCGATAATACTGATCAAAGTTCGCATATTCCATTTCAGCAAACACCTAATGATATTAATGAAATAGGAACTTTCTATTTTGATGAAACTTCAAAGGTATCTATATATTATTTATTTATTTTATATAAAATTGAGTACTATATTTATTTTGTCTGTGCTTTTTAGAGACTAACATTAATACCTCAAAATACTGAAGTGTGCAACCAATCTATACAGAACTTTTCTGATTCTTCAGAGCAGGATATTGCAAGTTCTCAGGCCTCATCTATGTCACAGTGTTCATTATCAACTACCCAATTTGCTTCAAATTTAATGTCCAATACATCTGCCTCTGCCTCTGTAACAAGTGGAACGAAACTGGCAAAAGATGAAATGCTGTATACAAAAAGAGGGGCATCCAAGAAGCAAAAGAGTGGGTTTGTTATGGAGGAAGCTGTTGAAGCTATTAAAGGAATAGCCTCACAGCCAATAATTCTCCCTCCGTATACTAATCGTCCTGCTCAAGATGTAATTGATAATTTTACAGCCTATATAGCGGATAAATTGAGAGATATGTCTCCTAGGCGTAGAAAGTTCTGTGAAGAGGAAATAATGAAAATAGTTTTTGGTGCCGTTAAGACAGATATATAAATTCCTATTTTACTCAATTTTACTTCGTGTTCACTGTTTATGTGGTAATTTTTGTTTATGGCTGTACTTATTCGTTCAGTTTATTTATAAAAAATTAAGATGTAACAGCTGTTAAAAACAGTGATTTCTTTTTGATCAAAGAAATATTTTTAGATATTATTTAATTAAATATTATATTACCTTTATCTCTAATCAAAAAGTAATATTAATTGTCCCTAATGATACCAGTAGCAATCAATTTATGACTAGCGGATCTTCCATAACAGCATAATATTGATTGATACTAAATTGATTGAGGTGCCATTAAAGACTGTTTAATGTCTATTATTACTGTACTGCTTATTCTAGTTTGTCATATTTTAAGTTTAAAAGTTACTTAATTTATATATGTTGAAATGCAGACAAACTGTGATATTAAGAATAGTATTGTAGAAAGTTTATTTATATATTTACCATTGTTATACTACTGAATGGTATTAATTATATTCATAGAATGGCGTACATATGTTATAATTAATATTTTTTATTTAATAGTTATAATTGTTGTACAATTATATTTCTGATTTCACGAATTCATGAGATAATTATATGATTTTTGAAAATAATAGTAGACGTAACAAATAAGCGTTATTTTCTATTTTTTATTAGTTATGTAATATTATTTGCATTATTTATTTTACAGATAGCTCATGAAGTGACCAAAACTTATTTTTATAATAATACTACAATACATAATAAGATATTATGTATAATATTTTTTATATCTTTGCTAATATTCTTTGATAATCTGTGAACTTTACAAATTTTGATATGTACGAATATGACAGGATGAAAATAAAGAATAATATCTACAGTAATCACTATTTTTATTAATTTCAAGTATATTTTTTTTCTGATTATTTGCAATAAATCTAAATTAACAACTTAAAAATTGTACAATGTTTTATCTGCATACATTTTCACCAAGTACCATTCTTTCTTGCCACGGCACACAGCTCCTGGTCCATTAAAATATGTAGTCCACATGTCTCGAAGAATACGAGCATCATTTGCATGACGGTTTCCACCTTGATAACTCATTGGTGCTAAGCCGCTGGCTACTTGTTGCCTCCATTCACCTGTTCTTATCAAACCTGTTAATATGTCCTCTTCATCAAGAAAATCTGATGGGGTATACATAGCACGGCCTGTACATTGACTACGTAACATGTTATGAAGACAGCAACATGCCATTGTAATTCGAATTGCCTCTTCAGGATCATATCTCATAGTTGTTCTAAATATCTGAAATCGTGCACCTAACACTCCAAATGCATTTTCCGAACAGCGTCTGGCACGTGACAGTCTATAAAAATAATGCAGCACATATTTCTTTTTATTACCATTAACATATATAACATACATTATTATGCAATTTTATAATTTAGATTTAATAGTATAAATATACAAATTTATATGATACCTGTAATTAAAGATCTTCCTGTCAACACGATTACAGCATTGATCTACTGGATATGGAATAAGTAGCTTAGTTGTCAGAGGAAAAATCTCATCACCAACTAGTACATGAGGAAAATTAATGTCAGACTCAGGAAGTGAAGATGGCTGAGGCAAAGGAAGATTATTGCTGCGTAAATGAGATTTGAGACTGCATTTGTTCCATATAGAAGAATCACTCATTCTCCCATTAGTGCCTAAATCGATATAAATAAATCTCAGCTGTGCATCAACGACAGCAAGTAATACAATACTATAAAAATCTTTATAATTGTAGTAGGCTGAACCCGATGATACAGGTGGATCTATTCGTATATGTTTGCCGTCTATCGCACCAATGCAATTATAAAAATTCCATTTCCTTCCAAAATCTTCAGCAACAACGCTCCACTCTTCTGCAGATGTTGGCATTCGAAGAAATGTATTTTTCAAAACATAGATCAGTGCTGCACAAACTTCCCTTATTATTTTTGATATAGTACTTTGTGCAATTCTAAATTGCAAGGAAAGTGATTCCTGTGATTCTCCTATTAATAAAATAAAAATTAATTATTTTATAAGAAAAGATATATATATGTATTATATTCATATTTGTGTAACATACCAGTAGCCAAATGCCGCAGAGTGACGGAGAGTCTCTCAGCAGGAGGTATACATTCTCTCAAATGTGTCGTCTTCTTTTCAATGAGAGGTGTAATGTTTTCAAGAAGATATTCAAAAGTATCAGTATCCATGCGCAAACATCTGCAAACAATTGTTAATCATCATTACTTTCAAATCATCATTACTTTCTAATCAAAGTAATTCTTCTGCACACTTTCTCACGGTTATTTAACGTATATAAATTAGTAACAATTACATTTTACCTACCTACGAAATCGATTCGGGTCTTCAAGTGCAAGCTCTAGAAATAAATTTTTATGCATACTAATATTTTTTCTTTTTAAAAAATACGGCTTAACCCACACAGAACGTTTTAATCGATATTTTTCCTTATTTATTGCTATTAGAAGCAGCAGACATGCACACGAAAGTCTATATCTATGTTTTTTTATTAACAATTCAATAATATTTGACATTGTTGATTTATAATAAAAATAGGTGATAATACAACTTCACGACTTCAATATTTGGCTCAGCACACTATTTCACTCTAATTTATTGCACCAGTGCAGCTGAAAAGAACAGACCAATATCAGCCAGTTTGTAGTGTGATCGGTCAACCCGCAACCATCAACCGTAACCTCAACCGCAACAGAGCCCGCAACCGGTAGTGTAATTCCGCCTT